ATATATATATATATATATATATGTGTTAATTAAAAATGTGTGATACTTCTTCCTCGAGAAATAGAATAATAATGATAGCGTTGAAAAGAAACAGAACATTTAATCAATCTCCACGAATGCATCTCTCGCAAAAAGAATGTAACTTTTTTTTGATTAAATATTTCACATGGTTTTTATATATAACAATATGTTTAAAAACAGAGAGAAATTTAAAATATCGATAACATAAGATAAATATTGAGTTTTATGATGCAGTTATAAGAAATAATCGAATCGATAATGTAGGAAACATTTCGAAGTCATTCTAATAAACGATAAAAGAATGAATCGTTGCTATAAAAGCGTGAATGATGGTTTAATAGCATTCATTCTCTGGAATATTGTTCGCAATTTGGTTCAAAGTATGCCATTTTCTTCTCTTAAAGCTCTGTAGAGAAATACCAAAATAGTATGAAAAGTCGAACAGTTATTCTAAGTGTAACTGACTGATTTTTTTAAATTTTACTTACATTTTGCAAAAATTATAAAAGTTATTTATTTATATCAAAACTAATTTCAAAACTTTTTATGTTATGTTAACATTTATGTTACATCCGAATATCTATCATGGAATTTCACATGCTATAAGTTATAATCCGGGAAAAAATGTTATATAATATATATAACATATTTTACATATAATTGTATATAAATTATGTCAATTTTATATATAATTATATGTAATTTTATTTAATTTTGTATAATTAAATATAATTATACATAAATCATTTTTTTCCGGGAAGAGTTAAATAACACAAGTGAATAAAAGAGAGAATATCTCAATAATATTACGTATCATCTTCAGAAAGACATTGACGAAAATGACAAAATAAGATTTGTAATGATTAGGTCATTTAACGGAACTAAGATATAATCTTAATTTGACGGCACAGTCGACACTTCCAAGAAATTCGATCGATGCAATTCTTGGAGAATGCTGATAAAGCGGCTACAAAAGTAACTCTCCCTAGGAATTACCTAGTGGACATAAAAAAAATAGAAAATATGAGAAGTGATCAAATCAGTTAGTCTGTTAGTAGTGCAGTTAATAGAGTATTGCGTAAACGTCTATTGATCAATTGTGTGTAAAAACTGATACAAGAAATACATAAAATAAATTTTATCAAGATTAAAAGGAATTAATTCTTTTCTAAGTCCCCGCAGAAGTAAAAGAATTATTGCGTCTGCCTTGTCAATTTCAACAAAGTAGAAACGATATCCTTTAAAACTATCTCCAGATATTCGAGCAACAACCTGTTTAGGGATCGACGTTCCCCTACTCCTTTCCCAACAGATGTAAACTGGTTTAGGGCTTTGCGAATCAATCTTGAAGCGTCTTTTCATTTGAGCAGTCTGTTATATCCATATTTTTGTTAGTGCACCTATTCTTGTATTTTTATTATAAAAGTTTGATGACTTCTTGCGACGTATCAAATATTATCTCGGTAGAAAAATGAAAGAGTCAATGTACGCAAGTACAAAAAACAATTAGATTAAATATAATTAAATTAATACTAAATGTGTACGAAAAATTGTTGATTTACATTGTGTAATAGAAAAATCATGTGTGTATATTTTTATTGTTCTTATCTTTAATTTGAGCGCAGAACAAAAAGAAAAGTATGTTAGGAATTTACTAGAAGATGAAATATCGTTCTCCAGTGATTTATGAGTTTTTTTTTAAACTTTTTAAACTTTTTTAAAATACAGCATTTTCCTTGTTCTAGTACAAGTAAGTTATACAAGTAAGTTGTTCCTTTGAATACCTAAATATACTGAACTATAAATCTCTCTTTTCCATCTTTCTACGTAGAAAATGCATGTAGTAAGTCGAGCATTGGACAAACATATAGTCAAGTTTAATGCTCACAAACTTAAAATTTCTTTTCAAATATTTTAAAGTAAATTGATGTATTTATGTAAAATTATCCAAATAATGAGAATTCGATTGGCGATATTTGAATGAAAAGCATCTTTTCAGAAAAAAGTCGAATGAATATTTGAGAAATGGATCCAGGTATTGACACAAGGACTAATATTTAAAAATATGATTCGAAATTAAAGAATATATGATTTAAAATCTCAAAATAATTAATTAAAAAGCCTTATTTAAATATTTAAACGTTATTCAAGTTTCTAGGATTTTATAATACATTTTATAATACATTTTATAATATAATACATTCCAAAATATTATTTAAAATAACAAATATTCCCGGTCTCTCTCTTTCTATCTCTCTCTATTTCTCATATTTAAAAATGTTATTTAAAATTCAAAATTATTATTTAATATTCAGAAGCAACGGCCAGATTCTAGAAGAGCCAAAGACAGGGATCCTTCAAAGATTTGACGGCAGATTAGAGGGAAAAATAGGATTATCGAAAATCGTTTAGGATCCTGACAATCGAAGAATCGCTACAATGGCTGAAAGAACGCCGGCTCCTGACAGTGAAGAAGTGGAAGAAATCGCGCCCAATAACACGCAAGAGGTCGACGCCATTTTGGAAGAGACGCCGGTTGTCACTGAAGACAGAAGCGCAAGAGTCAGAAGGAACATCATCAGCGTGCCGGAACAAAACGTCGATATCGAGATAAAAGGGACGAGATATCGTTATGATAATAACGGGCGATTGAGACGCGTATTGAATTGATTAATGTTTCACAGTTAGTTTGTTCTTTTGTTTTTTCTGCATTAATGCTCTTTAAATCTTGATTGACGGTCTATGTCTATGAGATTCACGCAGTCTTTAGATGGTTAGTGTAATAAATTTTTGTTAACGTATCAGTAAAGTGGTTGTCAATAGATAAATATTATTTAAATTTTTATAGTATTATTTGATATATTTCAAAATATCATATTTAAAATTCAATTTATAATTTAACTCATAATTTAATTTTATTGAGATTTCAAACAATATTTTAAGCTTAAAGTGGCCATTTAAAAATCACACAAAATTATTAATTAATATTCGATAATTATTAAAATTATTAATATATTTATTAAAAATATTTTCGTGGTCTATCTTAAAATTTTTGTATGCTATTAATTTTGTAATTATTGTAGTGTTCAAAATTAATAAATCAATAGTAACAGATTTATGTACAGAAATGAATAATAAATAAACAAAATATCAATTAAAATTATAGTAACACGATTTTATTTTTGCAAAAAAACTAATAATGCATGATTTTATTGTTAATTTATAAAGGAAAAACTTTTATAAAAAAAGAGTCGATTTAGGAAACAACATATTTATTATCGGATTTATGAACATTAAAAGTTGTTTATATTCATTTTTGTTATATTCTAGGATTAAACGTTACATTTTTTAAAAACTATCTTGTTATGAAAGTTCAATCGCAAATTTAACTTTTTTTTTAAATACAAACAAGTAATTTTTTATTGAACTTAAAAACAGTAAAAATATCAAATTTAAAAACCTCTTAAAAGCCACTTTTACGTAAAAACACAGTTTACTTTAGAAATAAGAGTTAAATTTTTCTGTATAGAAACTAAACAAATTTCTTCCATTTGAGATTGTATTCGCATTTTAAAAATTAGATTTTATACTAAAAGCTAAATGTTTTTTATTAGAAAAAATCAAATCGACTCTCTAGTTGGTAAAATTTTTTTCCAATTTAGAAACTAGAGATATATTGGACTTGTTTTAAGCTATATTCTGATCGTTACTAAAAGCGAAACTTTATTCGCGGTAAAAGTCAAATATTTGTTGGACAGAAAAGCCAAATTCTATCGTCATAAAAATCAATCATTTCTTGCACAACAGTTTTGTTTTTTCTATAAAAAGTTAACCATCTGTGAATTGAGTTCATAAAATTTTAAACAAATTTTTTTTGCTTTGAAAATATTTGAACAATATAATAAGTAAATAAAACCTTTTATCGCTTGTTAAATATTTCTAACTTTTCAAGTAATTTATTGAAAGTAACTGTTATAATATTCTTTTTCTTTCTCTCTATTTTCCTCTTTCTTCTCTCTCTCTCTCTCTCTCTCTCTCTTTCTCTCTCTCTCTCTCTCTCTCTCTCTCTTTCTCTCTCCTTTTTTTCTCTCTTTCTCTTTCTCTCTATTATTCGATAATTTCGATATTCGCGCAATCTCGTGGACAAGATACTTTCTGCAAGCCACTCGCATATGCATATTTATAAAATTTCATATGCTATTTGAAATGCAAAACGATATTTGACTATTTCGATAACCTTAAGTTAAACAACTTTGATTACAATTATTGGCTATTTCCCAAGAAGTGTTATATTAAATAATATATTTCAAAAAAATTGAAGATAGTAGGTCAATAAATGAACAAGATAAGAAATGTTTAAAGTTATCAATTAATAAATATGATTGAAATTTTTCAACCGATTAAATATTATATTAAATACTATTACGCATATTTCATTTTTTTTTAATTACATATGTTGACTGAAATATTTTAAAATATATTGGATTGTCCGAAAAGTTCGTGCCGACTAATATAATTTAATAAATGCATAAAATTTAAATCTTCTGCGTTTCAATTTTCCTTCAAAATCGGCACGAACCGGACAACCCAATATAATTAAAATATTAATTTTACGCAGAATAAATCAATTAGAGTTAATATAATAAACATAAATATAAAATATTAAAATACAAATTATTATTACAATTTAATTTGTATAATCTTCATATAATTTTATATAAATAGTTATTAGTTAATACTTAAATTTATTAGTTACAGTTTTTAAATACTTTTATGTAAATATACATGTGAGAATTAAAATTAGAATTTAGTTATCATTTCTGTGAAATATTACGCATGTAGTGATAATCTCTTATCAAAGATACGCTTCACCTTTGACAAGACATGTAAATATGATGTAATAATTTTATCACAAATTATGGTTTTGTTGATTTGTGAAATCCTCAGTATAAAACTAATCAGTCGTTGCGCAGCGTTAATAACAGTGTCTTTATAAGATTAATAAATTATATAAGATTCTGCTTTTTGAGAATATTTCACAAGTCATATGCATTATTGAAATTAAATTTTTGAACCAATTTGCATTTTGTGGTAAAAATGAAATTTTATATCACGTTATTAATGGTTGCTATGATAGAGATGACTACCATGTCGTCACCGCTACTAAAGGAAACTCAACTAGGATCGCCTCCGAAAACACCGATGACAAATGTAACAATGTCTCCATTTAATATCATAACAGTACCGGATTTTCCGTGTCCACCTGGTCAACAACGTGACACAAATGGAATATGTCGATTGTTTTTGCAAAAGCTTAAGAAGTAGTTTCAAGAAAAATTATAGGTAAGATAACTTGTAAATAAGGTACAGTGTGGTAATTTTGTCGAGGATCATAGAGATTAATTAGAAAGAAACATATAAGGAAAAAATAAAAGAAATTGTAGAAGAACGGAAATTAGTTATCATTTCTGCAAAATATTGCAAGATTACGCATGCATGTAGTGATAATGTCTTATCAAAAATACATTTCACCTTTGACAAGGCATCGTAAATATAATGTAATTTCTATAATGGATTTTATCGTAAACAATGGTTTTGTTAATTTATGAAATTCTCGATATAAAATTAATCAGTCATTGCGCAACATTAATAACAGTGTCTTTATAAGTTTCTGCTTTTTCAAAGATGTTTCACAAATCACATGCATTATTTGGACATTATCGAAATCTCAAATTTTTGAAACGGTTTGCATTCTGTGGTGAAAATCGAAAATGAAATCTTGTATCACGTTATTAATAATTGCTCTAACAGTTATGACTATTGTATCATCACCGCTACAAAAGAAAATTCAATCAAATTTCGAATTGATCTCCGAAAACACCGATGATCTCCGAGAACACCGGCAAATGGTGGTTATGCATAATACAAAAAAATGTCATAGCGGTGCCGGAATGGCCAGGTGTCCATCTGGCTATAAATATGACGCGAACGGAAAATGTCGATGGTTTTTGAAAAATCGTAAAAAGTAGTTTCAAGAAAAACTATAGATAACTATAGATAAGATAACTTGTAAATAAAGGTAAAGTGCGATAATTCTACCGAGGATCGTAGACATTAATTAGGAAGAAACATATAAAGGAAAAATAAAAGAAATTGCAGAAGAATGAAAATTGGAATATTCAGAAAAATTTCTTAATGTTATTAAGAAAATATTCAATTAGAATGTTTTTATATTAAAAAATGTTATAAAATATTGTTTTATATGGATATTGATTAATATATTTTCTTTCTTTTTTAATAACTATTTTTTACGAATAAAAGAGAAGAGTGTTATTTTTAGTCAAAGCAGGTTTTACTTATTGTTAGTAATATTCGTATGTGAATATATAAATGCAATTTTTAGTTCTATAGACTAACTGTTTTTTTTTTTAATTGTGAGGTTATAAACAATTAGTATTTTTTTTTAATTATGAGATTATTTATTTTTAATTATAATTTATTTAAAATAATTATTTGTAAAATAATTATTTCAGTTCATGATTGTGATTTTAAATCCGACAAATTGAATCGGCAATTTATACAACCAAAAATTGTATTTGTACAATCATATATAAAAAAGTCATATATAAATATTACTAACAAGAAAACACAACGAACACTCCCTCTCATTTTAATAAAGCTTTAAATGTATTAAAATATAAAAGATACATTTTTATACATGTTGAGGGGATGAAAATCTCCTTGAAAAAAATTGGTTTTTTATTTCAGAGTGAATATACTATATCGTTGAAACTATGAGAGATAGAAAAAATGTTTTAAATAAAAGTTAAATGATTTCAAGAGTACTTTATAATAATCATTATAAAAAAGTTATTTAAATAAAACATTTTTTCATAAAAAAATTTTTTTATCTTTTTTAATTATAATTATGAAGTATTCTTGAAACTATTTAGCTTTTATTTAAAACATTTTTTTTTCTGTTTCTCATAGTTTTGATGATATTCATTTAAAAAAAAACTGATCTTTTCAAAAGAATTCTTTTACTTCCTTAATCTTCGACTTAGCACGTAAAAAAAAAAATATTTTTTATTTTTGTCTATATTTTAACATATCCAAAGCTATTTAAAATTAGGGACGATGATCAGTTAATTGTATTTCTTTATACATATCAAGATCTGCTTTAACTAAAAATGGCATTTTTATTTCTTCTTTTTCTTACATTAAGCCTGTGGTCTGTGTTATACCTCTCTCAAATGCTTGTGGGGCGTACACTGATTATTCAATTGCCACGAGCATATGGGATCTACAGTTTTAATGCCGGTTTTGAACGGCGAATTTTTCGAGAGGTGTTTCTGTGGGTAAAGATACTCTCGGAAGATTGCCGACCTTTCCCGAGAAGAGATACGAGCGTAAATATTTTGGTTCCTGAGATTTGAACCGAGGATTTCTGGCATGATAGACCTGTACTCTCTCTGTTATGCTACGTTCGCGCTCATATACGTCCTTATTTGTGTTTAAATATTTCTCTGTTTATATATATATATATATATAT